GACACGTTACGCTGCGTCACAATGTGTCGTCATCAGCACGGACTCGCGATCACTCATTGAACATTCAATATTCAATATTCACGCTCCAACCAGTTACCTTCATCAGGGACTGGGCGCCCGCGCCGCTAGCTTACTTAATGGCTCGGGTGATCTCTATCGATGGCGCATTACTTCTCATACGACGTCTACTAAGGCAGCATCTCAACAGTACTATGGCTGAACCGACATAGCCTGCGCTCTTGTTGCACGAGGGCGTGGGTTCAAGTCTTGACCTGGCCGTCTAGCGTTTTGCGCGGGACGATCTTGTGCAAGGGGTGTTACTTATTACACCCATTATATCATTCAGAGCAAACGTGAGCGTATCTATACAGTCTTCTGAAACTTTTGTCCGATGTCTCATGACATAATCTTCCTTGTCGCCATAAATCATCGTGAAGCCGCCCAGGGCCCAGACGCTACGAGGAAGGAGCAACATCGCCGTTTGACTCTATGTCAGAACCTACATCGCGAACCACGAGCTGCACCCAACCGACCATCGCCCTGCCCACCTGAATATCCTTATCGGCAAGCGAACTCAGACTTCCGCATTTCTGGCAGCAGCACCTCCTCGAGCCCGCTGTTCCCGCTCGCCTGCGTGTTGTGGCGTCTCTTGACCGCAGGGTACCACACGTTCGTCGTGACCTCCTTCAAGAGCCGCAGGGTCTCGTGGTTCCACGACTGCTATCCGCTCTTCTATGGGTTCAGACGCACCCGCTTGGCCGGCCTCTCCCTCGATTTGAATCGCAGTAGGCAGATTAGGCGCCATTATCGATATGCCCTCCGAAGTATGCAACACGAGGAAACGCTGCGCCAGCGCTCGATACTCCGCAAACTCCGCGCGCCACTTCGTAGCCTGGGAACGGCGGATCCAAGCCTGTTTAAGGGCGTACGCCCGAGCGCCATCCACCCAGCCCAGGTCAGTCGCATATGCGTGTTTTGCGCCAAAATCCATCTTCTCCGGTTCACATCGTTTGTCCCAGATCTTCGCCATATTCTCGCTGAACTCCACGACGCGACGCATCTCTTCATCAAGAAGGCGGACCTCTTGTACCATGTGCTGCGCCCGAGCACGACTTTTACACCATTCCACCATCAATTCTATGGCGAATGTTAATAAACTATTCAGACTAACTGTAGCTATGTCTTCGCAGGCTCACCATCTGTGATCCGATCGCTTGCTTCCTCAAATTGATTGAACCAAAACCAGGGCAGCTCATATCGCGTCTCGCCAGACGTATCAGCCTCACGCCTCCCTTGCATGAACTTCTGCGCATTCGACGCTGACATTTGTTCCACCTGCTCGATAAGACGGTCACCCAAGGCGCGGCAGTCCGAGTCCTTCAACTTGCACATTGTCTTTTCCCAGTCACCCTTCCCTACCAGGGCTTCATAAGCGTCACGATGCCGCCGGTAAGCATTTGCTGCCCTCTTAACTCTGGCTGTCACAGCTTCCTGCGTCTCGCGAGCACGCGTGTTGTCCCGTTGGCCAGTAATCTGCTGCGCCTTGAACCTGTTCAGGCATCCTTTGAGGCGCAATTGATGTCGCAGATGATTCAGTTCGTCCAGCATCAACTCCCACCTCACCCTGGCTTCCACAGTGCGCGTAGCAGCCGGAGTCAGACTGACGTCACCGTCGGGAGGGTCGGAGGGGAGAAAGAGTTTCATCGTCATGGCCGTTCGACGCTCCGGATGGCGCTCTTCGGATGTAAGGGCCGCGTAGACGGCGGGCATCAAGTACTCTTGCTCTCTGCGCAAGCTCGAAATGTCACGTGCGATTGCATTCAAGTCGTGGGTTCTATCCGTGACTTGTTTAGTAGTGCCACCGTCGCTCCTATGCTTTGCGGTGAATCGCGATCTTGCGACAGGAGATCAGTAAGATGTAATACTGGTAATAGTGTAACGCACCTAGCCTCTTCGATCTTGATCCCGAGCATCAGAAAATCTGCGAACGCCGCCTGTTCCACAGCGTCCAGCTGCGCAGTGTCGGAGCGTGAGTCCTCTGCCAGTTCCGATTGCAGTTTGATAGCGGCTTCGGACAAAACTGTTGAACAAGTCAGTACATGAAGGGACGATCTTAGAAGAGCGCGACACGATAGAGCCAAGAACCGAGGCTTTATCGAACGCTGCGTATCGCAAGCTCACCTGTACTTTCCACGTAGTATGGGCAGGGTGTGCCCTCCTTCTTCTCTGAGTCTTGCTCCCACGTTCTGATTGCTGCCCGGGCTTGAGCTATGCGCGCGGGCTCTTCCGCTTCGATTGCTTCGGTGAAATAAGTGAATATGTTTGTTTGCGTGATAGCATCATCAAGTGTCCGTTGCATACGCTCGCGAAGGAGCTCAGCTTGGGAGAATTAGCTCATTTAGATCTATGACGCAGCATGCGGGAATGTTACTCACATATACCGCAGATCTTTCTCCAGTTCCACGAGCTACACATATCGTCCATTGTGTCACTCATGCCTCCTGAGCCCATTTCACGTAGGCTGGACGCTGCGGGATTTGCTCCAGACCATATGCGCTCGCAGCCTTCTCCATCTGTCGTGCCGGTCCCAGATAGTAAGCCCAGAGCGAATCGTAGTTGGCAAAAGAGTTTATGCGCATAGAGGTGGAATTTCGGGACCACATAAGTGATGGTCCCTGCGATGTGGTGTTTGAAGAACTGTGCGATGCCTGGGGATACCTGACAAGCCGGGGGCATCTTGGCTAGTCTATCGTGGATCCGCTTGCTCCATTGGCAAGCAATGTCGTAGCTGACCGTAATCTCCGCGCATCGTAGGAATGATAGTGCGCCACAGAATACCCAGTCCATCGTGTTATACCTGGCTCCGCTTCAGGCGATGCCACAAGAGCTCATCCAGAAGAACGTACCGTTCACCTCGCTTTAGCACAGCAAGACCGAGGGGCTGCACGAACTCATGACGTGCACAGAAGCACCCAGCAATGCCCGTAGATTGCATTCCCTTCCCGCCCTTCATATTGGCCAACGTCAGCGCCCCAAATTTGGAGCAGTCGCTCGGCTAGCAAGCGTCAGAGAGCAAGAAGGGCGCGAATCGGGGATTTGCTCACTTCTTCAACTTTGTGCTTCTCAGATTGGTCGAGGTATGCATTGTACTCCTTCCTCGAGGCCATGTATGCGCAGCCATCGCTAAGGTTGGGATCTTTCGTGTCACTAGAATGAGTCAATTTGTTGTTCAAACGAAAGTTAGCATCCATAGATAGTATGGTTCTGTAGAGGAACCTGACGAAACCCAGTCATCGACCGCAAAAGCCGTAGCGTTGAGCACACACTTGAAAGGACGGCTGATCCAATCAAACGGCATGTTCATATCAATGTTGGGGCAGGCGGGACAGCGCACAGCGCAAGCACCAAGAGGAGTTGCCGCAATCCCGCCCGGCTCATGACCCCGACCGCTTCGTTTGAACATGAAGATATGTCGAAATTGCCGTACGCAGGTGGAAAGCTGCTGGCGAACATTCTGCGCGTTCGGTATCATCAGTTTGTATACGCTCTGTGCAACATATGGATGTACCGCAACGCTATGAAGACCAGCGCCGTCCATCGCAACCTCCAATGCTCGATAATAGTCATATACGTTCAGTCGTCCGAGTAGCGATAGACGCGTGAACTGGTCCAAGGCATCAAGGGTCGTAGCGGTGCGCGGGTCCACACATGTCGCTGGCCAAAGTCGGGTGCGCATGAGCTGTATATGAAACGGTACATCTTGGCCCTTGTCACAGCCACAGAAGTCCACAGGGATATGGTGAATGCCGTTCGAATGAATGATTGTGAAGTCCTCAACGCGATGCACTGCACGGAAGCTACAAGCTTCTCCTGGCGGATGCATAAGCTGGATGCGAAGACCGAGATCAGCCATCCGTATCCGTTCGTAGAAGTCTCCATTGAAGCGCTGCAATGTCGGATGAGCTACGTCCAAGACTGATTCCCTAGATGACTGCTTACTTCGACCCTGTGATATGGAGTGTACTGATGAACGCGCTTGATGCACTTCTGACAAAGGTTCGCTCCTACGCAGTCTTCGCAGCGGTGGTCAGGGAAACCTTCCGCATCGCAGCCGGGACACCGCTTCAGTTCTAATACGTCAGCACGACCATCCCAGCGCAAAGCCTCGTGGAGAAATATGTCTTGCGACAAGGCCCATCGTACAATTGGAAAGTCCTGCATGCGTGTCAGTCTATAGGAGTACGCCGTTCAAGGACCAACTCACCGATTCAAGTTTTCTGACCCGTTCTGTCGTCGTCCCCTTTCCAGTAGGTGATATCACCTCCGCATTAGCCGGGCTACCTTCGTCGCAAGTACTGACACTGATTTCTGGTTGCGCAGGCCCTTTGGAGTTCGTCTCGGTCAGTCACAGATAAATCCAACGGGTGCACAGAGTGACCTTCCTGGTCCATGTTGTGATGTTCAGTAGCGCCGGCGGGCCCCTTGAATGCTCGCGCCAGTTTTCCTTCGCCTATTCCTTGAAGAACACAGGAGTTCATAGTGGACCTTCCACCCGTTCCCCGATACTCGTGTGGGGTGGGCACGTCATATTGCAGGAATGGGCCAAAGGTGAATGGTTTGCGGACGTCCTCGATAGTACAGGTAGTGATGGTACTCCGTGCCAGCTTTGTCGAGGTAGAGGCTCTCGAGAAAAGTGAAGCTCCAGAGCCGCGGACGATGGATTTCAGACGTTTGGAGGGCGAGGACACGGAGTCATGAGGCTGGGGGGTCTCGCTACCCTTCGTGCGCTTCATCCAAGCAGATGGTGTTCGTCAGCCAAGTCGGATAGGTTGAAACGAACAAGTTGCACATGACTGGTACCGTGCGCGAGGCTATGCGTACGCAGCTAGTACGCCGACGTGAGAGAGATTGACACGGGGTACTACATGCTCAGGGATGACCATGGGAAAAAGATGCGACGTAATGCTCTTCTGGGTTGCTACCTCCACATTGCTCGTCATTGCTAAGCGGGAAGTACACCTGCTCTCTAGCTCTAGTATATCCTGCGCAAAGACGCAGGTATCCTGGAGGGCTTTGACCTCTTCGCGCCCGAGAGGTCTTGTTCGAAACTATTGAACGCATAGCCGGATGTCGCTACTCATTGATGTGCCTTGTGGCAACTGCGATCAGCGCAGAGGTTTCAAACTACGGTCTACCAGCACGGTAAGCCCTAAAAACAACGTAAATTCAGCATACATGTAATCTACATCTTTTACAAGTTGACCAGCACATGAGCCTTGAGCCGTTAGAAGTGTGATTGTTTATCCGAACGCCGAGGGTACCGTGCTCGGAAGGATGCCCGACATTCAAACGGCGTCCATATTGTGACGCGCCGGCTAACATTAAGAGCTCGGATCGACTCACAGGACCAGCCACCGACCTCCTCGACTGAGCGTCAGTAGGGAGCCTCAATACGCCCCCAGAATGCTTCCCAGAATGCTTTGCCTCAGTTGATAGCGGCGGAAGAAGCTGATGAGGGGTTGGGGGTGCCTGGGAGGTGTCTATGGATTCTGAAGTCGTAAACGCGGCGGAAACTCTACAGCCGACGTTGATTTCATTTTTTGCGGGGTTTCTGACCAGCCTTGGCGAGGAGGGCGGCCGCGCGGCGACGAGGCCAGGCGACAATGCGAGTAAGAGCGACGAGGATCAGGGCCCAGCAGGGTGAGAATGAGGCGGGTAAGTTCGGCGGGACAGTCGAGATCACGGTGCTCCAGCGCGGCATGCGCGAGGGTGCGAATGTACATGTTTTTCGCTAAGTACTGACAACATATTAGCACTGGTGTTGTCCGGCGTTGGAGCCATGAGCGACGTCGGCGTTGGAACGTCTCCTTCGTGCCGACGCATACGCGAGGACAATGCAAGCCCACGCTGCACAATGGGTTCGTCGTCGCCTTCTTTTCGCGCTTCCTCGTCGAACGCGCTGACTTCCGCGCAGATCTCAGGCGTGTTGGGGTGTGGAGGAGAGATGCAAGTAATGATGATAATGGGGGAAGCCGCCGGCGCTAGCGCTGAGTCGTTTCCTGGCAGTGTATCTGTTCGTTCCGTATATACGGCTCTATGAGCCGTGACAGTATGTGTCGTAGCCGCCGTCGCGCGTGAAAATCCCCCGGGTAAGGTTGGCCCCGCGGCAAGTGCGAAGTTTCAGGAGTGCTACTCAGATTCCAAGCACTCGCATGGGAGCGCTTGATATGCCAACCGGCAGATCCATTATGATGATTTCCGGACCCGGGATCGACTGAGAAGAGTACGCGTAAACATGTGAGCTGGACGCGTCCATAGCGCCCATACGCGGACGACCCTTTGTTGGAGAGAATGCCGGCGCGTGTATTTCGTCATTTCGATCCATAGCCAACTGGCGAGAACAGGGAATAATCTAGGCGACAAACACACGCGCTCCGTAGGCACGGCCGGACGTCGTAATTAGGGTCAACGCTCCCATGCACAACCTTGCGGCTGCTCTGGTCGCAGACACCCTTCGTACGACGACCTTAGTGCGGCGGAATGACTGGGAGCGGGTGGGACGCGACGTTGCGCCGTCCCTCGAGACGCAGGTGCCGAACGAGCTCGACCATGCCGAATCGACAAGGCGCAGCGGTCATCCGCGTTGCCTTGCGAGAGATGGCATGCTCTCGAGCACGCGCTCGTCGACGAGAAGGCCGGTGATGTCCGTGACGGGCACGAAGGGCCAGGACGGCGCGTGAGAGGAGGGTGAGGG